TACAAGCAATATGCTGCTTGAAATTTCATTTACGCTAATAATCCTTTAAAACAACTTTTTTCCTTGGAACAAGATGTAGATGAATTTTTTCCGACCAGAACAAATTTCTTTTTGATTTAGCATTACTGCGCAATTTATTGCGTTTGGTGTAATTTGAGTTGTAGAATCGAAATATGGAAAAAACTTGGCACGTCATTTCAGAAAACGTCCGATTTTGTGTCCACCTATATTAGAACAATGCTATATATAAATTTAATACATATCTTAAGTTGCGCTTTCGAGACGTGAAAAACGCAAGCGAAATTGCATTTCGTCAATAAGCCCAGTAGAACGGGAGGTATAGAACTGTCCGCCCTTTTTTTTTACGCAGTTCACACCTGCCTTAGAAGACGAGATATTCTGCTTCGAGTAGAAGAAGTTCTTATCTCAATCTAGGTATGGCACACGTTATACAGGGAGCGTTTACATCCATATCATTTGCAATATATCCAGTCATTGCAGCCTAAGATTTACCCTCGACGTGGGAAGCTTGTTGGTACTTGGAAAAATGCAACTAGAACCTATTTTCTGCTGTGAAAGTATCTTCAATCAACACGATGTTCATATGCGGGGCCACGACTACAACCCACAAAATGTACACCCACATGATGCCCACCAACGGTTTTTCCGTAAATGAACGGACAAGTATTATTGGTGATTACCTAATCGGACCATATCTCTGACCACTGCTATTGGATGATCGAAAATATTGCAATTTTCTGGAGGAGGTATTGCCACAAATACTCGACAATGTTCCTATGTCTGTTTGTCGTGCAATGTGGTACCAGCACGAAGAGGCTTCAGCCCCGTGCTGAAGAGATTACTTTAACAATATGTTTACGCAGTAGTGGATTGTGCGTGGAGGATCCGCCCCATGGCCACCACAATCACCCGATTTATTTAGCTGGGATTATTTCTTGTGCAGAACACTGAAAGCCGTGGTCTGTGAGATGCTCATTGACTGTAACACCGACTTCTTCGCAAGAATCTCCGTGGCAGCTGTAAACGTTTGCGACATACTTGGTATTTTTGAAAAGATTCGGCAGTCCATGCGTTGCAGTTGTGAAGCCTGCATAAGGATGAATAATCGAAACATTGAGCCCTTGTTGTAAAATTGAATGTGTACATGTATTGTAAATTATCGTTAAATAAATAGTTTTCCTATCCATTATTGGCTTGTCATTCCTGCATCTTTGTTTATCATCCAGCTTATCGGAGGTAGTAGGGATAAATATTTGTTGGAATTTATCATGATCACAAATTGACATAGATCATAAATATAAGTCCTGATTTTCCTGATGATGAAAGTCTCCGATATTTCATAACGTGGCGTAAGGCATGGAATCTTGGACGTTTTAAAATGCGCTGAGCGTTTTGAAATGGCACATATTCATCACTATCACGAATGTCCGACAGATGCCCGGCGTATTTCAAAATGTCTGAGATTCTATGCGGTGCGTACGTTACGAAACTTTGGGCAACTTCATTATCAGTCGTGATTTATTTTAAGTTTGTGGTCTTTAAGTGTCAATTTGCGAGCACGATGAATTCATATTTTTCATCCGCAGATTATCGCTTGCGAACGGCTGTTGACAGTTTTTCTGCGACATTTTGTAGTAAGTCTCTTATCTCGTTAGGATTACATTTCCGATCCTGCATTGCTATGGGATTCCAAGTCGTTTAAGTGTACCCCACCTATTCTAGAAGTTTGTTCCTGTAGTTTTGAATCACTGTGTATTCTGTATATGCAAAAATTATATTGTTAAACATAATTAAAATTATATACATATAATTAAATATAATTACAATTATATGTATAATTAAATATAATTAAAGTAATTAAAATAATATAAATATGTTGTGTATATATATACACTGAAGTGACAAAAGTCATGGGATACCTCCTAATATTTTGTCGGTCCTCCTTTTGCCCGGCGAAGAGCAGCAACTCGACGTGGCATGGACTGAACAAGTCGTTGGAAGTCCCCTGCAGGAATATTGAGCCATGCTGCCTCTATAGACCTCCATAATTGTGAAAGTGTTGACGGTGCAGGGATTCGGGCACGAACTGACCTCTCGATGATGTCCCATAAATGTTCGATGGGATTCATTTCGGGCGATCTAGTTGGCCACATGATTCGCTGGTATTGTCCAGAATGTTCTTCTAACCAATCGCGAACAATTGTGGCCCGGTGACATGGCGCCTTGTCATCCATAAAAATCCCATCGTTGTTTGAGTACGTAAAGTCCATGAATGGCTGTAAGTGATCTCCAAGTAGCTGAAGGTATCCATTTCCAGTCAATGATCAGTTCAGTAGCACAGTCAATGATCGGTTCAGTTGCACCAGAGGATCGAGTCCATGCCATGTAAAAACAGCCCAGACCATTATGGAACCACCACCAGCTTGAACAGTGCCTTGTTGACAACTTGGGTCCATGGCTTCGTGGGGTCTGCGCCACTCTCGAACCCTACCATCAGCTCTTACCAACTGAAATCGTGACTCATCTGACCAAGCCACGGTTTTCCATTCGTTTAGGGACCAACCGATATGCTCACGAGCCCACGAGAGTCACTGCAGGCGATGTCGTGCTGTCATTAAAGGCACTCGATTCGGTCTTCTGCTGGCATAGCCCAAGGAAGACAAATTTCGCCGCACTGTCCTATCGGACACGTCCCTCGTACGTCCCGCATTGATTTCTGCGGTTATTTGACGCAGTGTTGCTTGTCTGTGCTCACTGACAACTCTACGCAGACGTCGCTGGTCTCGGTCGTTAAGTGCAGGTGGTCGGCCACTGCGCTGTCCATGGTGGGATGTTATGCCTGAAATTAGATACTCTCGGCACACTCTTGACGCTGTGGATCTCGAAATGTTGAATTCCCTAACGATATCCGAAATGCAATGACCCATGCGTCTAGCTCCAACTACCATTCCGCGTTCAAAGTCTGTTAATTCTCGTCGTGCGGCCATAATCACGTCAAAGCCTCTTCACATGAATAACTTGAACACAAATGAAAGCCCTGCCAAAGCACTTCGCATTTATACATTTTCTACGCGATACTACTGCCATCTGTATATTTGCATATTGCTATCCCATGACTTTTGTCACTTCAGTGTATATATACAATTGTAATAAATATTATAACTTCATGTATATGTATGTATATATATATATATATATATTATATATGTATATGTAAATTTTATGTAAATATATATATAATGTAAAAGAGGAAAACCATATGTGTAAGATTTTAAGAAATTTAAGGAAAGTTTACTACTCATATTTAACATTTATTTAATTTTAAAAAACTGTAAGTCAGAAGTCTGATTTTAATTTGCAATTAAGCCCTTAACCTTTCATTCAAATTTAGTTATTTCCTTTTTCTATCTTAAAATTAGTAACTGCTTGCATTAAATCGTTCTAAATTGCGTAATTTCGAAATTATCCATTGTCATATTATTCTCGCGTAATGCTACCTCTGTGTCGCTATTTATAAAACGCTTTAACCAATAATAATTTAAATTTCCTTGAACTATGATTACAGGCACCCCCCGTTTTGCAAAAGTTTACTGTACGCTATTTCGCTTTTATGAAATAATCTAATGTACTTTCAGTGAGAAATAAAAGGAAATGATTACGGAATACAATAGGAAACTTGTTTTATCTGTCAAAGGAAATTCGAGAAGGATATGCGCTCCGATGAAAAAGGGTTAAAATCTATAAATTGCTTTTAGCTTTTGTTTCTTACAGTTACTTCAAAAAAGTGTGACTCCAATTTTAAAAAGCATGTAGGAGAAACGTCTGAATCATTACCGAGTGCCTACAAAGGATTATACGATATAAAAATATTAGTGATTTGCAAGAAAAAAAGATGGTAGAGTTTTGTTTCTTAATATTATGCTTCTTGATTCTGATAAATAATTTTTTTATATAAAAATTTTGTTTCTCAGTAAGTTAGTTTATCCACAGTTCCCCTGCCCTTTTTTTGTTGTTTTCTTCCTGCCCTCTGGTCGAATGTGCGTTTCCGGACACGCAATTTCTTCAGGTCAGGAAGGAGTTGGAGGCTTCCCAGAACAAAGGCACAAGTGCCCCCGGCTGGCCGTATTGGAATTTTACTGATAGGAGAATAAACGACCCGAAAATTAAATTACTTTAAAATACGTTATAGCGATAAAATTCCGAGTTTCATACTCAAGCACCCCATTCCGAATATGGATTCCTGGAGTATTTACAGGATTCCTTTCCAGTGTGGTTTAATTTATATTGGTCAAACTAAGAGAGCCATAAAAATTCGCTCTAACTGGCATTTGTTAAAAAAAAAGAAACATAGAAGTCTTCTATTGCCAGGCATTGTTGGTTCGAAAATCACACTCTCAATTTTTCTGCAGTCAAAAGTATTCAAAAAGTTATTTTTCATTGGTGAATTAGATTTTCTAGAGGCATTTCACATTAAAAAAATCTTTCGTTCTAGTTAACGAAAGCTAATTATTTTACATATCACTTTTTCTTCTATTAGTGGCTTTTGAAGTTTTTTTAGTATGATACAATAATTCTGTTTTCGTTTCACTCCATTTCGATTAAACGTTGAGCTTTCACAGTATGATACTTCTTTGGCAATATGAAGCAACTCCGTTGATGGAACACAGAAAAAACTTTATTTAGCGCTCAAAATGGCGACATACAAAACAAGGGGAAAAAAAAAAGAATTCTAACGTTTAAAAATAAATTACATTCTTCGTGCGAGAGTCGCACGTGGAACTCGAGCCTGCGTTTCAAACATTGCCATTCATATAAACCTTAATGTTCAACTAACTAAATTATTTATTTTAAACTACAAGATTTTAATAATATTTAAAGCTGTTACAACAGTAAAGCTGCACATTTCGGTAGTCGAAAGAATATCGAAAGTTTGTGTATTTTGTGCTCTCAATTGACATTTTCCCATAATTTCTTTTCAGTTCATTTATCTGGATTTCAACAACTTGACAGATGTTGATGCCATTCTACATCCGAACATGACCAGTGTCATAACAGTGCTGCTGGCCAGCAATCCCATCGAAAAGATCTCTTATACTTCTTTCAACTTCAAAGTTCCCGCAGTGCGATTCCTGTATTTGGACCACTGCAAAATCACAGAGTTCAACGCCTCGTATTTCGAGCAACTGGAGAAACTCGCTACAGTTGATCTCAGTTTCAATCTCATTGAAATTATTCCGAAACAAACTGTTGGATTTGGAACAAAGCTGGAAATTGATTTAATTGGAAATCAGATACGTCAGTTTGATGGTAAATGTTATTTATTTCCCTTAAAGAAATAATAAATAATCTTTATATGATTAATGCATTTTATCACAAGCACTAAAGAATAATAATAATTAGAGTGGGTGTGCAAACCAATGTTAATAATTAATTTAAACAGCATATTCAGAAAAACAAATTTGTTTATGTAAAAGAAAAAAGTGATGTGAGATTTTCAAGCCATTATAGTCACCATTCTTTAAATTATTTTTTTACACAATATTCGCCATTGTTGAGGCATTTGTGTTAACACGGGGCTCGACCAGTGGCCAAGTGATAAAGACTGCTGAATGCTGGTAGTTCGACCCGAGTTTGAACCCGAGCTAAAGGGCTTACTTCATGCGCAACATGAATAAGAGCTAGTTTCCCTTAAACGTCTTCCATGAAAGCATTTTCTTTCCCAGGCGTATAGCCTTCCTGTGCTTTGCCATAAGGCATATTTTTAATCAGTGAAAAAAATTGAAAGTCTCTTAATGCCATCCATGACTATGTGACTAGACTATGTGAAGGGTATCATCTATTTCCTACATTCAGTGAAAGATGTCATCTATTTCCATCTATTTAATGCCGACTTGAATTTAAAGCACTTCTGTGAAGCAGCTTTGGTAAGCTATCTTCGTCTTTTATTATAGTCTCACAGTAGATGGTAGATTTTATGAAAGTATTCTAGTATTTTATTTCTGATATTCTATTTCGTTCAAACTTGGTATGTTTGTTACATGGAGCGTGAGGAAACAAAAACTGCAATAAAAATAACAGTTCAAGTTCGACCACCAGCTGAGAAAGGGGCGTATAAAGAATAAAAAGCACATACTCCAAATTTTATTTTAATCACAACATTTGTTCAATATGTTCTGTATTTGGGCCAATCACACGTTCATAAGTGTGTTACAGCTTGTTTAACAGTAGTGCGATGTGTTTCTGAAACAACTGCAGGAACATGACGTGTTATGCTTGGTTTCAATTCAGGCGTAGTTTGTATGCTTCCTTCACAGACACGATTGTTCAGGCTTCCCTACAACCAGTAGTCACTGAGATTCCAATTCGTAGAATGAGGAAGTCGGCAGTTGGAAAACTTCTTGAAATTACTTCGGCATCTCCAAAGTGGGTACGAAAAAATGCCTTCACCCATCCAGCAATACGAGTTTGTGCATGAAGGCAGTAGTTTCTAAACATTCTGTTTCTCGTAAGGCAGAGTGAGTTTGCTGCTGAAGAAGTTCTCAGTAACAGGCACCCGTGATGGAACGTCTTCGAGAGCCTTGAAGAGTGTTCTGTCAAAGAAAAAAAAGAATGAAATCAGCAGTACAACCGCACCATACAGGAATATAATCAGTATTTAGAGACTGTTCATGCGTAACATTAGGATTTTCAATACCGCAAATGAGGCAGTTGTGAGTATTAACGGCTCTATCTAGTGTGAAACGTGACTTTTCCGACCACAAAATGTTTCCCAGGCACTACATTGTTAACAGTTGTTTTGACCAAAAAAGAAGGTTAGCAAAACCAGTGCGTTTGTTCGGATCTGAAGGTTGCAGTTCTTGCAGAATTTTGATCTTGTATGGATACCACTTTACAATGGATTGCATAACTTCTCCTGCTGTCGACCAAGGTACAGACTAATTACGCGACACCGCTCGAAAACTTGTCGAAGAATATTGGTAACCGGACATTCTGTCGACCACAGCAAGAGCGATTTCTTCACAGTTACATTTGAAATTCGTCTCCGTCCTCTTCCTTGCAGCGCACACAACTTCGAAAATTTAATAATATTTTTTTCAAACCTTTCCTTGATGTAGACCTTGTTCTTAAGCCTTTCAAGCGTCGTTATTCTTCCAGTGCAGTTGGAAAAACTACTGCTTATGTTCTGATAAAACAACTTTATGCGTAAAGCTCGATCTTCCTTCTCTCAAGGCATGATGTTAAATGATTTCACGGCATTGAAAAGAATTAATGGTTTTTCAAAACGCTCCAAATTTGTATAACTTCTTTTCTACACTACATGAATGGTGTAAATCTGTCATCTGAAATTTGAATTATTTATATTTATTGCAGATTTTTCTGCATGGTTCATATAACATATATACCATGTTTCAAGAAAATAGATCTACTGGAATGGGTTCTACGTATTTCTAAATAGGGTAACTTTAATTGTAAGTATCCTATATTTTGACAATTGGGTGATATGATTAAAACATTTGTCGCTTTTTTGGTGATATCAAATGGGGATGTTAACAGCCCATAAATTCATTTTTTCTTGTTTTCTTCTATATTTTATTTGTTTTGTTCTTGCTTATATGCAGTATAAAGCTGTGAATTTATATTAAATGAATTATTTTATAAATTTCTGAGTTATAAATTCTGCTGAGATTCAAAATTTATAATACATTCATGATTTCAAACCTGTTTAAAATACTGCTTATTATTTTTAAAAGTAATTCCTTATTCATTATAAGGGCACAGCCCCGATCCTCCTAGCAGGTCTGGTTAGCCGACCGTATTATCAAAAAGTGAGACTGGCCAGAAAAAAAAAAAAAAACGTTATTCATATTTAATTCAAAAGTAATTCATATTATACTGAAGGCACAAAGAAAAATAATATACTTTGCATTAATAAAACGTTTTAGAAGACACAAATTTCTCTGGAAAATACCGACACTGACTACTATAATAGAAGATTGACAGATTTTTTAAAAAGGAGTAATGGAAAAATAAATAAATTAATGAATGAAAAAATAGATTGCAAGTGGAACGTTTTCAAATCGAATAATTTACCTTAAAGTTAGAAAAAAATATTTAATAAAATATATTAAAATTTAAAACTCACGTCCGAGGCATTCAACAAGTATTTCCGTCAAATGGCGATACTATTTTTCGGCTTTAATTTTGAGAAAACGATAAATCCTCATACTGGAAACAGAAAGAACTTCGGAACACGTTTCCTCTAAAATATATAATAATTTTCGGGTTAAAATGGTTATATAAGGTATTACTAAAGAGTAAACACTGTATTTCTGCATAAAATGTTAAATATTAAACAAACGTTTCATCTTTTCGAAATTGCCGTGAATACCAACCAGTTTCCCTTAGAAAGTCCTCCGCAAAGGCATCCCTACTTTAAATCAAATGCCTCAATATAATAAATAATCTTTTTCAAATCGTTGTTGCTAAATGTATATATTTCTTTTTCTCAAATGTTTTCATAAAATCATTCATTTAAATACTTATTCTTTCCCTCATAGTAGCCCTTTGAGGCAAGAGTTAGTATATTTTTGAGCTCACTCTTTTCTACCTTTAATATTGTATTATAGCTACTATGCTACGTTTGATGATAGCATTACATATATACATACTGAAATCTGTTTACAACGACAATCCTTTATTCCAGATTCTATTTATATTCTGCAGAGCATTCTATTAATATTCTATTAATATTCTACCTTAATATCTATCTTTGGTTTATCTTCTCAGGTGTTCTAAGGTGGTAACATTTGTAAGCCTATTTCCTGTTTTAGTTAAATTTTGAAATAAATACTATTAAGCACGTTTGGAAAGTAAGTCCAATTCCCAAATTCTGCTGCAGCAGCTCTGCGACCGTGAGTGTATATTTGCGTCGTGAATTTAGTGACCTGATGGCAAGGCAAAGAGACCACTAAAGGGGTTGTCATATATAGCGACGCTATAAGAAACGTTTCCGAGAAATGTATTTCTTCCAGCACTAGTTTCAGCAGAAGGTATTTTTCTGAAACTGTTCCGCTCGGTGGTGTGTTGCGTTTACATATCCGGAACATTTTATGTGGATAAGGTAAATGTTTCGCTTGCCGGTAAATGTTTTGCTTGTTCTGCGTACGACCGGAAGAAGATATTCTATTTCTGGGAGGTTTTCGCTTATTGTAAAGAAATCAGTTGCTGAAAACGAAAATTTCGAGAAATTTATCTTTTGACGAGGAGTTGAGGGCAGCTAGCAGGTATGATAGCGATTATAAAAACAAGTTGGTATTATAATGCGTATTATGTGATGGGATGATAATAATGTCCAAGAAAATAAATTCGCATGCCTCATGCGAAGCACAGACTGTGATCCGGTTTTTGAATATGAGCAGCCGATTCACCGTCAGATCTGGAAGGTGTACGGTAAACAGATTATGACTGCGTGAATAGTACGAAAATAAGTGCGTCTGTTTAACGAAGGTTTGAGATAATATACACGACTAGGGATGCGGTGGGCAGTCATCTGTATTGAGTGCAAACCTTACTTGTGTAGTGGACACATGCTTATATGCAAGTACTTTGGAATTTACACTGAGCGATATTGAGAGCTACTGGCTGAATTTTATTTTATTAACATCAGTTTATTCCTTTTTTTTGGTGTGTCCTGAGTTTCATAGATGAAGCTGAAATTTTATGGAGTCAAGCCGAAGTCAGCAGCCCTAACTTAATCTCTGTCCATTTTTTTTTATCAGATTCAGAGTCGTTTTCCTGTGCATTTTACTGTTATGTCAATCAGTCTGTTTTTACCGTTATGTATTTATTACCCATTAATTAGTGCTGAGAATAATCTTGCAAAAGTATGCCGAGAAAAACATTATGCGTAAAGATGTGAGGAATTTAGAACAATTCTCTTGCTTACGAGATTGCTTTTAGATTTCTAACGATGTTAAAAATTATTAAGATTACGCATATTAATAGCAATACAAATAACGCAATACAGTTTGTATTCAATCAAATGTAAAAGATGGTCTACATTCCAACATGATAATCGCTTGCTTCTAACTTTCCCGATAGCATAGTTTAGCTATTGCTGACTAAGATGAGATAAAACTGGTAGTAATAAATATTCTAATAATAATTTTGTTTTCTTTTGCAGCTGAAATGACGTATATTGTAAAGCGTATCTATCTGTCTCAGAATAAACTGCGTTCTTTAGGTCGGACTCTGCAGTATACACAGATAAGTGAAGTCTCTGTAGCCAGGAATGAATTAGAGTATCTCAGTGTAGAAGATCTGCGAGGCGTCCATGGCATGGCCAACATTGAATTTCAGGGTAATCGCATTCGCTGGATGGACAGGTTTACTTTCTTTACAATAAGGAATGATTTGCACTATTTGGATTTGAGTAACAATTTGATAAAATCTCTTAATGGAAGTGTCAAATATCTGTCCCAGTTGAAGTCTTTGAACCTCACGCAAAATTTAATCAAGGTAAGTTACGGGGTAAATTTATTGGCATCTCTGTTCTGTAAAAATTACCAGTATGGCATGATTTATTTTTTGTTATTTTGCCAGTATTATTAATTAACATAAACGTTTGCTAAGATTGCTCACATTACAGAATCATTTTCTACTTAACTCATGCAATACCATTGACTTACTCTTCTTTGGGGGGGGGGAACTTATGCGTATACCACATGACTTCCTTGCACAGAATATTAAATTATACGCATTTTTTCTTGCATTTCATTTAAATTTATTCGATTGAATTAAATGTACTTCGTCGATAGCGCATAAACCACAATTGAATAAATGCCCTCTTTAAAATTCACTCTATTTATTTATAAAATATGCTATATATATAGCGACACTCTGGCTCTTCACTTAACAGCGTTACATTTCGTCCATATTATAACTCAGAACGCATATAAATTTATATCATTTGAAGAATTATCTAATCGTTGCCACATGTTCTATTCAAATACTATAATAAATCTGAAACCATGTATAAAAGAAATAAAGCAAACAAAACAAAAAAGCAACAGTTTTTTACAGACGATTCAGTATTTCTGTTTCAATTAATTCACTTCCCGACAATGCAAAAATATATAAAAACTCAAAATATCTATATTAAAAATTACGAAGTAAATCTGAAACATTTATTTCCTCGAATAAATTCCCCAATGGATTAAGCATGATTTAATTCGCACTAATAAAAGAAGGCGTTATCTTTGTTGTTGCGAAGCTTAGTTTCTCTAGATTAGCAACAAATCCGCTATTTTGCCAAGTTTAAAATGTAAACAAACATGTCCGCCATCGCAAAATTCATTAGGATTAGCTGCACTTAAACAACTTTTGAATTGTTGATAATTTTAAAAATATTGCATACAGATTTACTAAAGGCATAAAAACCTTAATCGGAAGATAAGAACAACATAATTCAATCATTTTTGAAGCAAAAAATGCCCAATTTACAAACATATAAGAGTAAAGAAACTGAGATTACTGAGCCGGGAAACAGGTGTTGGTGTTGATGTATTTAATTATGGCAAAGCACACTAGGGCTATCTGCCTAAGGGGAGGGATGCCTTTCGTGGAGGACTTTCTAAGGGAAACTGGCTCGTATATACGTTGTTACACATGGGGAAAACCACGAAAACACCCATGCAGCCAGCCCGTTCGCGGGATTCGAACCTCGGACCGAACTACCAGTGTTCAGCGACTTTACCGCTCGGCCGCTGGTGGGCCAAGCCGGGAAAACAGAGTGGATATATATTTACATATATTTATATACTTTTGGTGCAGCCGATTGGAACCAAAATACGAGGTGCACATCTACGTGTTATAGCAGTCCCATATACAAACTTTCAACATTCTGAGGCGTTTTTGAGTTACGCGAGTTATGTAAGCACAGACGCTAAGAAAAATTCTCTTCATAATTCATTTTAAATTAGTTTATAATTTTTTTTGGCGGAAAAAGTCTTTTATTCTGTCCTTACTTGCGGATGTCAAGCAAAAGCATCATTAAATTGCATTGAATAGCGGTCAAAATCGGTATTTTTGTTGAAATATGATACCCGAAATTTTTCGCGATTACAATACTTCCTTTTTACTTCGTACAAGGAAGTAAAAAAAAAACAGAGGCACCAGAAATGATATTAATTATGAATTAGAGATTCTTTTGTGAAGTGGTTATAGAATAAACTTATGTCACTGAACATGATTCTGTTTAACATGTTTTTTAAGTTAACACAATTTATTAATTGCACGCTTTTTTAATATCGCAGAGTAGTATTTATTAAACACTATCTAAGGTGTACATATTATCCTTCAGGTGTTCTAAGATACAAATTTATTAACAATGAAAACACTTTCAACTATTTCCAATTTTTAGAATGTTGCGTTCGGCGGAAACGTATGTTACGTATTTTTAGAATGTTCGGCGGAAAAACGAAACAAGCTGAAGGCCGAAGGTCGTTGTTTGAAGTGCTACCAAAAATCATATTTGAGTATTAATCGTAGATCAAAACTAAATCCATGTAGAAAACGTAATTCTAATAATCATAACGAGAGCACTTACTTCAAGAAAATAAATTTATAAACCGAAAGTTCACCCAGTGAAAATGTTAATATAAAAGGAAATGACAGTAAATCCCAAACGATAGTTTCGTCTGTGTCACATTGCAAGCAAGTAAAAGACTCAATTTCAGTTCTATTGCAAACATGCCCCGTGAGAACTGTAACTCCTCATAGATCGAAAATCATCAGGGTGTTATTTTATAATGCTTCAATGCGTTCCTTTATCATGAAATCATTAGCCGATGATTTAAAATTTCCAGTTATAAGGAAGGAGAATTTAATAGTTTATACATTTGGAAGTCACGATCTAAGGGAGAAAATATTAGGAGTAACAGGGATCCAATTACAAAAGTATAATGGCCCTAAGAAGAAAATAGAACTTGATGTGAACGGTTCGTGGATTTGGAGTGATTAACGGCGACACTTGATGAAGTATCAAAACACAATTTATTTAGCCGGCATTACTCAGGGCAGCTCCAGAAACACATTTACAGTAGTCGAAAAACTACGACACACACGCAGAAACGATCATCAACACAGAATGTCAGGCTATAGCGGTGAAGACAGCTTCATGGCAAAGCACTAGAGTACAGCTCCCGACTCGTTTTGGTCGTTCTTCGGAAGTCAACGTGGTCTAGCCTCCACGCTTCAACTTACGACGCACGCGGCGATACGCTCGATAGTCTCAACGATACACACTCTAGATGCACCAACTCGCGATACAGCCGACGACCAATTCAAAACTAGAATGACGATCAATTCGATAGACTACGAGACACTTATTAGACTCGCGATCGACTTCTCTCCGCGTATAGCAGGGTTTATATAGCTTTTGGCCTGCGTTCGAGAATATTCTGGGCCAAATCGGTAAAAAATGTAATAAACATAAAATAGTAAAGGCATCTGGAGCCCAAGTGTCTATTGCGGACATCTTGTTCAATGAATGTTTAAATCAGGAAGATGCAATATGTTGTGCGATATACTTAAAGTTGTAGAATTTAATGTGTTAAGCAATCATCCAAAGTGTCTAAACTAACAACTGACACTTAATAAAGTTGTAGTTAAGTTCTTATTTAGTTTCAATAAAAACCTTTTATTGAAACTAAATAAGAACAGAAGGCCCACTTGTGCTTACAACTCAACCAACCAGTTGTGTCGAGATAACTTAAAGTAACAGTGAGTCAAATGTAAAATTTAAATTCAAATAAACTGATTTAACGCGATTAACAACCGATTTAACACGAAGTTGGCTCAGAACTTAACCGGCTTGAAATTGAATTCAGCTATCAGCAATTGTAATGCAAGGTCGAAGACAAGAACTACTACGATAACTATTACGTAGCGACCTAAGTAACGTGGCCATAAGACGCAGAACATGTTTTGTCTTACAATCTCAAAATCCTAACCTTAAATACACGCGAAATTAAATTTGCATTCTGGTGGAAAGGGAGAAGTGACAGTACAGATCCCAGACATGAAATAATGGGTTAATTAACATAAAGAAACCCCAAGAAGTGTAAACTAAAACGATATTTCCGTATTTAAACATTTAACATTCATAAATTCGTGCTATCTCAAGTCCTTTAAATAAAACTCCTTCTTTCAACATAACATTTTACTGGCATTAATTAAACGTGTTAAGCCAGAAACTACTCTGCAAATTTTTGTTATTATAACTTATTCGTAGGTAAAGTCATTAAGTTTTCTTGAAGCAGGAGATGTGAGAAATAAGTAGTGTCGTCGCTGGGACTCGAACCCCCCGACCTCTCGAATACGCTTCGAGTATGTCTCCAATTATACCACGGATGCATGCGGAAAGGAGGGAGAAAATACATTATACGTAGTCTGTGAGGGAAAACAATTTGCCAATTTCCTACAGAGTTGTACAAAGGAACATAGCTACCCAAAAAAGCATGGCAGGGTTAAAATCATGACAAGCTGCCATAATCTTATATTCTTTAGTAGAATAGGTATATTTTTACGCTCATAAAATCTAGCATTTTATTTCATGGCAAATACACATTTCGCTTTGATGTCTATATTGTAAAGAACAGCAGTTATACTGAAGATGTTTCTTTAAAGCAATATAAATTTCAGTTACTTTGTATTGCAATTAATTTTCTGCTTTCTTATGTACCTCTAGACTTTTGAAGAAGGAGAATTCTCTGGTCTCAACGAGCTATCGGAATTGTACTTACAAGACAACAGAATTGCTGCTCTTAGTGGTCAAATCCAGCTAATACCACAGTTACTATATCTTGTCATCAGACAAAACAACGTGAAAACATTGAGTGCAGATCAGATACCTGAAAAATTACAATATTTATATTTGGCAGGTATTATTAAATACACTTTGTCCCCTTTTTTATATTAGTTTTATGTGTTTTTGAAACAAAGACAAGTGCTTTGCTTTTCATTACTCAAATACGTTTTGTTGTTAACTTTTCCTCAAGAAATTGAACGATTGTATTACTCGTATCTGCATCGGAAACAGAGTTGAAAAAACTTACATTGAAGATGCACTACAATTAATTTGCGAGATTGTTAGCATTTAGGTCATATTGGGCGGTTTTGAATAGAGCGAATCTGAATGTGAGCGTTTAAAGAAGATACGTTTTGAAATAATATATTATGAATTGCATGAGCCAATTCGAAAAATTTCAATTTATTTCTTAGATTTACATATGTTGATAAATAGTCTAACTTCAAATTTATAATCTCAGAGGCTGCCTCCTAGCACCATCACTCTAAGTTGTTTATATTTCACATATATGTCATTGGTTGTTGCATCCACTAATGCGTATATAAAAGGATAGAAATTTGTGGAAAATTATACGGCTGTAATCCCCGAGAATAGCACGTTTTCGAGACTTAAGTGATTTTTAATGCAGTCTAATAGTTGGCGATTATGCGATGGGTCATAGCATTTCGCAGGTCACGAGAGAAATTGTATGTCAGTTTCAAAGCCACTAACTGATTGTAAAATGCTAGCCAAACTTTAAACTTTGGTAACAGTGGGGCATAAAAAGGTCAAGAAGCAGCTGGTAAGCGTCGTTTTATGCAATAGGAGTGCCATAATGCCTCAAGTAATATCGAATTCTACACTGGAGCCTCAGAAAACATCAGCGTGACTACTGTATAATCTTCCTTTCATAGTATCAGCTTTAAGAGCCGACGAACAACTTTAATACTCCTGATGCATGCACCAGTAGAGTTGTGTAGCTAGCCTGGGTTTGGCAGTATGACCACTGGCAATTGTTGACTGGGAATGAAAAGCCTGATTTAATCAATCACTTTTAGAATTGATTCGGGCCACATTTATATATGAGTCCCAGCTGTTAAGACGATTTATATAGAATACGGCGGTTCCTTAACGGCGTTAAGTATATTTATCTAGCAGTCAATCATATGAATCGCTAGTACAACTCAACGTTTCTAACAGATGAAAGCTTTTAGTCTTTCTGATCAATTGTGCCCGTTCATAACTAGTGTTCATTCTGATGGGTTTGTTCTCTTTCATGAAGAAAATGCAGTCACATATAGTGTCTGGGGCGCCATGTTATGGTTACAGGAACATTCGATCTTAGTCTGGAGTATTTCTATTGCCATTGAAGTTACCAGATATCAGTGTTATTGAACAAAACAGGGATGCCATGAAATTTCGCTGGGGAACGCAGAAATCATATATATCTGAATACAAGAAGAAATTTATGAGCAGCTCTGCAAGACGTATGATGCTGATTGTGTTTAAAATGCGCCAGCACTCTCTTGGAGTCCATTTTTCTGCAGCTCTACGTTGTTGTAAAGTGCTTGCTAAATTTATATAGGTGTACCAATTTATTTACACAATATAATTTGCCGGGAACTATTCGATTGAATTCTGTGTTATTTAATATTTCCTCCGAAGAATGTAGAGAGTTTCGCTTTACATAGTTTAATAATTCGCATAGTTTATATGAAGAAACTTGAAATATATAGAATTTGTAATTTTTCAATCAAAATATGAAAGCATTCACTTTCCGCTATATACAAATGATTATTCTTACGTAATTCAAGTTCCAGCTTAAAGAGAGGTCTGTGACAGAGCACCATCTAAAGGCAAAAAGTAAACTGAGAATACATATTTGAGTACTAGGGCAATTCAATAATTATTGAAAGAAAACGTGTTGATGGTATGTTTTGTTAGGTTATGAATGTTGTTTCCGTTCTAAATCTTTCCGTTATCCTCTCAATCCCTAAACAATTGGATTGCAATTGTATTGCTTTTTCACAGCATTTGAAAGTGTAAGTACTGTAATGTTGGCATTATTTTAAGCATACAGTATGATGGGAATTGGTTATTTGTAGAATATATAAACGTATGAAATATAGGCATTATTTACCATAAACAGGGACACCTGTAAGGATTTGGTATATTGATTTTTAAAAAATTAGTGGAATTCAGAAAGCAGTACACTACGCAGGAAAGAAGATTACTGCAGTGCTTGAAAGCGTCCCTCTTCCTTCTGAGTGTATAAGGGTTTGTGAAGTAGTCAGCCTTACTGATGGGCCCGGCTTCGAAACCCGGAGAACGCTTGGATATGTTTACAGACACATGTAAGGTCTGTGCGACATGGAGTCACTTAAAATTCTGACAAAACGAAAACACTTTCGAGTGATTTCATGGTAGGGGAAGTACTATGAAATTATGGTAATAATGGAAGTTTCATGGTACCCTTTCGAGTAATTTCATGGATAAAATTCTGGTGTCCTGTTCATTCGCATCTATACCTGTAGTACTTGAAATAAGAGTTAGATTTTTTATGCTATACAGTATTTAATGCCTTTTTCTCTGTCACTTTAGAAAAAGGTTATTTTATGATAAAACAGAAAGCTGACGAGAGAACTGTTGCACTGACTAAGAAGTCATTCATGGGTAGTTCATCTGAAAATGCGGTACTTAACGTATTATCGCAACCACCTTAATAGAAGTCACTAAATTTTAAGAAATCGCCAAACTCTGGCAACCATGCGCATAACAGTTCTTTAAATAACCATATAGTATGTTGTAAGCTGCAATCCGAAAATTTACCGATCACCAGACTGAGCCAAGGTGTTTGCGCTAATACGTAAGAACCGAAAACATTCTCATCTATTCTAGAGCAAAAATGACCATATTTTATACATATGGAGGCAAATTCCTGTTGTTGCCACGAGCCATACAAAATATTTTAAAGTAATAGTTAAGAATAAATCCGACATTACATTGCAAATGTTTTGCAGGTATAACTATTCCGACAACAAAAAGTAAGCTTACGCACGTAACATCAAAGAGCTGTTCTGAATTTATTTTTCAATAAAATGATTACATCCTTAAAATTAGTCATAATATGTAACAGAAATGAATAAGAACACTATAGACATAACAGTAAGGTGTTATGTTATTCTAAAAAAATCCAGATTATTAAGATGGTTAATAATAGTAAAAACCATACGCATCAGGTGGAAGTCAATACCAATAAATCACAACAGCAGGGAAGAATCATAAATAATAACGATTTATTATAACAATAAATAACTTATTTTGTTAACCAATATTAATTTGTTAATCGCGCGAATTGCCTTTTAGTTGTCTGACTCTACAATACGAAAGCAGCCGGATTTTATCTGAAAAGAGACTACATCCAACGGTTATGGATTAAAAAAGCCATTAAATGCTAAAAGTTCGTCCTGTATTTCTTTGCAAGGGCCTTTCATAATTTTATCAATGTGCGACCTGAATAAAAGCTAGTTTCCTTTAGAAAGTACTGAGAAATCTGTATTTGAATCTGTGTTTATTAGGGAATTTTATTCTTAACATCACGACATTTCGTTTTTGCTGTTGTATTCATTAAATATGTTAAGAATGATTTATGGTTTATGTATTCCAAGCAGTATTTTATCATATAAAAGAGTAGAAAGGATGAAAGATTAGAGCATAATTCTGCTCATTTGATGAAACACACTTTAGGTGAGAAGAAATTGTTATACTCAGCAGAAAAGAATGTCTTTGGAATGTGCTTCAAATACTTCTGCGACAGAAGTGCTTTCAGGTAAAGATGGAACGTTCGAATCATTCTCTAATCTTGTGTTGAAAAGCATTTGAGACTTTGAAAAGCTGAATTATCACTGTCGACCCCTTCCCATCATTATGCTTTTTCTGATTTTTATATCTAATGTACTTAACTTTTGATTTTCCCCACGTGCAATATAAATATGAGTCCGATTCTCTTAGAAAATTCTCCACGAAAGTATCCCTTTTTTGAAGCAGGTAACCTTTTCTTTATTTAATTAACTTAGTCGACGTCCTTTTGTGCCTTTGCCCTTCACTAGAGAGTCGTAGGTAAATAAATTTTCATTCTGCCTTATTATTTCTTATACTTACATTATTCATATCGACAGCAAATCGTTGCTCCTCCTCATTTCGACGCTTCAGAAAAATTTGTATTAGAAATTTTTTTTTTTATTTCAAAGATTTAAACTCATTCAAAATTTAGTGATTGAAAAAAATATATATATTATGCTGACGACCAGTTTCTGTACGTTGATCGTTATTTATGTTACAGTGCCTAATCAGTTGCTGAGCGATAAGATCATTAAACACTGCGAGTTGGACTCGCGCTCCATTTCAGGCGAACATACTGGCTGCATGGGAATTTCGTGGTTTTTCCTGTGCATAGCGGTAATAAGAGGACCGTTTCCCTTAAATCATCTCTGAATGCTTTTTTTCCCATCATCCACTAACTTTCATTTTAGTTCGGGCGCCACTGTAGAATCGTTAGGTTATTTTGAAGGATGAAGCATGAAAAATGAGCAGTGCTCTTGCTTTGACACGAACCCTGGACCTCTCGGAATACGCGCCGAATGTGCTGCCATTTCATCACAAAGGGATTCAGAAAGGAGAGGGAAAATACTTTTAAATTAACCTAACCTCATTTTATGTTACGTTAACGATTTTAGGTAGGTAAATTTTTAATGTCGGAATTTTTGTTTTCTTGTATACGATTATTTTATTCATAATACCAGCAAAAATGACCACAAATATTGAGTAATGTTAAAGACCGATTTCCAGCCCTCACGGAAGCCGCCGGTTGTTCGATTCCGGCTTGGTTACACGTGCATGTCTTTTCCCTTTTTAGCGAGTGCAGTATCGATCTCCCTCTTGTGGTGCATCACACGCAACATTCTCAGTGACGAATGGGTTCGGCTACAGTGATGAACGTTTTCGAGCAAATGTCCCATCGTTAAAAAAAAAAGGGAGTATGTATTCAGAAAAAAAAAAAGTATTAAAATTTTATTCATATGCAGTTCGCGATTA